CAAGACAAAGGTAGTTAGTCTTGATTTATGCATGCTTCAGCTTAGGATGAAGAGAGCAGGACACAGTAGCAAAGCAATTAATTTTGATGCTGAAAACATTATTAATGATAATGTTTAAAACATCAAAGCACCGGCTGACAGAGACACAGCATCTCCACTCTGACAAGATGGAACAGATGAGCTCACTTGAGTCAGTCAAGGTGAGGCACAGGGGAAAATGTAATTTGTCTCTCCGTTGATTTTCATTGAGCTTTTCCTGGAGAAGCTGTGGTTCAGAGCGGGTCAAACCTGTGTACCTGGTGTCTGTGGTATAGCAGAGCTGGCCACCATATGAAGTGGAGAGTCAATTCTCTGTCAGTGGGTTGTGTATCTATTTGCCACAAATGCAACATGCTTTTGGATATTTTTTTTTAATATGAAAAGTACAGTATGTAGTCCGCATGTATGTATCTTGGACATGGGACGTAAGGGACAAGAGAGGAAGCACCATCAGTTGGAATGTACAAATCTGAAGTTCATAATGACCGAGTGGGCCAGTGAAGAACCCCTCCTCTATCCGTCTGGACTCCTCACTGTAGCTTTGGGCAAAGGGATAAAGCTTCTCTCACTCCCACATACTCATTTACCCCCCACCATCACACCAATTGAACCAGGGAGTCTGGGGGGAGCCACATTGATATTCACTACACATCTCCATCCCCCAGCCACAACCATTCCCACTGGAAACATTATTTCATTACATATATTATGCATTCAGCATAAGGGAGTTGGTGAATGTGCAGTGTGCAGATGTGTGTGTGGAGGGGGTGTGGGCGAGCTCAGATGTTTCCTTCTATGTATACATGGCTGTGACAAGCCTGTTGTAAAAAGAGTTTTAAAGAGAGTGTAAAAAGATATAACGCCTCAGGGGCCCAGTGTTAATGGTACTTAGTTTACTTTGTGAGAGAGAAGACAAAATATTTATTTCGTACTGTTTTGTGTCAACATTATAAAAGGGACTTCGCAAGTTTTGTAGAGGGATAACATATCCTGCAGAGTCGCATGAATTTTCCCTCAGTTCATTTGAGTATGTGCGTCCATATGTGAATGTGTACTGTGTCCCATGCAGAGCAGAAGATAAAGAGATACACAGTGGAAAAAGATGAAGATAGAGGCAGACAGACAGATATTTCATATGGCCCACTGCTCTTTGGGCCCTGGTCCAGATGTCACCAGAGCAGTTTTTTATTTGTTAATGTCTTGTTTTAAAAGCTCCCCTTAAAAGCGCCTGCTGCCTTTCCCTTAAGTCTTTAAGTGGCTCAACACAAGACACTCTTGTCTGATCCGAACTGGAATCAATTTGGAAAAGAAACCATTTCACCTCTGATTAAGCACTGCTCTGTCTCTGCTGTGGCATGCTGACCTTTCCAGAGGTCTGTCTTGGGCTGCGAGGAGGAGCCAGCCAGATGATATGCCGGGGTAATTAGACTGATTGACGTCAGAGGGCAGGGCCTGGGAGAGCCTTGTATTTGAACCCCATTTATTCACGACTCACGACCATATCCCTCACAAGTCAGATTCAATGCTGTAACCCCAGCTTCCTTTTGCAAATATCCCATAATGCTTTTCCCTTTTATTTTCTTACATTTTTATATAAATTAACTTTTCCCTCCGTCTTCAGGGGCAATCAACAATGAGAGACCTGCCCAATGTCATATGATTCAGTGAGCCTGGTGTTCTCTCTGCTCTTGCACCACGTTTTGTGTTATCCTGTTTTCAATTACACATAAAACAATGACTATTCTCAGTTTTTGTGAAGCCACCACTCATAGATGTCACACACAGGCCAGTCCTCCCCCAGTCAGCCATTTTGCCAAAATATGTCTGCCTTGGTGTCTTTAAATGGCTGCATCTATAGCTATGTGTGTCTGTGTGACCCGCTTGACCACCACCATCAGTCTCGGTATTCCACATCAATTTCTTCATCTCTCACCCTTTGCTCTAGCAATGTAGCACCAGTTCAACATCTGTATGTATTGCGGGCTTGTGCAGCATTTAAAACATGGAAGTCCCTAAAGGTATAAAATGTTGCAAAGCCAGAATTCTTTTAGAAGAGAGATCAGAGGGCAGGTGTCCACCAGAGATCAGAACATGGTCCAAATTCCCGGCATTTTGCCTCATACACCCAGAGCAATGTTGCCTACAGAGAGACCTGGTAGAGAGAAACCTCACCTCCAGTTCAAGCGGATTCTTGTGGCCTTTTATTTGTTCTCGTTTGGCTGCAGGGGGAACGTGCTCCACTCTGACCTGGGGGCACTCATCCAATCAGCTCACTATCTGCTGCAAGGGCCTCCATAATAGTGACATTTTTCCACCTCGTCAATAAAGTGGTGAAAGCCACCCTCCACCCGCTACTTGACCGTTTAACTTCTTCCTGAAAAGACCCTTTCTTTCTGTCTGTCTCTGTGTCTGGCTGAAATCAATAAAAGCAGAGCAAGGAAAGAGGCCAATCCAGCGGCTGCATTAACTGGTGGTCTCAACCGCTGTACAAAGAGGATGGCTGGCAGAGAAAAGGATACAGAAGAGCTGGCAGCTCGAGTCATTCTCATTCACACAGCAGTGGGAGAAACCTGCTTCTTGTCTACACTATATGGTGTCCCCCCCCCCCCCCCCCCCTCAGTAAGGACAATGAGATTCTGAAAATGCTGAATGAAAATATGCAGAAACAACATGCTGCACACATTCTTGTGTACTCCAAAAGCCATAAAGCGGAGTAAAAATGGAAATACTTCCATGCATACACACAGACTGAAAGATGGCAATCGTATTCAACAAAGATGCCATATATATTAACAGATGTAAACTATAGTATCTACTGATCATTGCTTGCCATGAGTCATTTAGCAGCTGCATTCACACATCACCACATGTCTGCAGTGATTGACATAACGGCATCAGAGTGAGAACAAAATGTCTTCCAATGAAGGAGCAGGAGGGACAAAATGAGAGAGATGGGTTACATCTATGCCCATGCTGAAATGAGTGCAGCGCTTTGTTTGGTTATGCTGTCTGAGCTGAAATTGATTACTGTGAGAAGCATGCACCAAAGAGCCCCTGCATTCAGATGAAATAAATAACACACTCTTAGAGATGGGAGGGTATGTGGATGATGGAACAGAGGGTGAAAAATGGGATAAGGGAGGAAGGAAGAAACAAAGATGGATTTACCAGGGTAAAAAAGCAGAGATGAAAAAGAAGGAAATGGCTAAAGGTGGGGTACTGAATGGCATGTCTTCAGTCTAGTGCAGCACTAAAAAGAGACAGCCTGGATGACATCTGGAGTAGTTGAGTTCAGTCACACACCACTTCCCAACCACAGACAACATGATGAGGGATTTAACTTCATTACAACATGTTATGGTAATGAATGGGCTGTGGCCAGTTCTGGATGTGTTAGAGTAATTACCCCACTCCAGCATATGTGTGAGTGACACTTTCTACACGTGTCTGTCTGTGTGTGCATGTGTGTGTACATGTGTGCCAGTCATATGTCCTGGGGCTCCAGGTTTAGTGAACTGGATGAGGCCTAAGGAAATCTAGCAGGTCTTTTCCACCATGCGCCAAGCAGAAGCAACTGCTGCAGCTAATTAAAAGAATGCAACACGTAGACAGCTACTATCATACGGATCATCTCCTATAGTTAGCTTAACATTGTTTTTTAATAGAAGATGGGCTTGGGACTTTGTGGTTTGGGCCAGTGTCTGGGCCAGTGTCTGGGCATCTGGGTCCATGATAGGTGCCAGAAAGGGAGGGGGACGGACAAAGCTACACACCCCAGAGGGGTGAGGTTGACTCTAGGTCACAGAGGCTTACTAGCCTCATGGCTGACAGATGTTAGTCTGGTTCAACAGGAGTTGTGATTCTGGAAAAAGTTACACCACACTACGTTCTATGCTGCGATTATCTTCTCTGTGTACAGAAACATCTCATACATCACTCAACAAGACATAAGCAAGAGCACCTCCCTGGATTACAAAGCCTTTGATAAACCATGTCACTTGAATCTGCTATCTAGTTGTGCTGCAATCAAGTGTTCCAGTGTTTGAGTTTGCTGGCCTGTCAGTAGCATTCCCAAGTGGAGCAACAGTGTGCCTGCTGTGGTTAGAGTGCGCTGCTAATGTTGCTAATGATCTCCGCAATGGAGCAACAGAGACTGGAGCTGAGTCATTTAATTTACAGTAAGCTTCAAAGTGTGAGAGTCAAGAGGGAGGCAAGGATGTGAGCCAGGGGGATGACTTGTCCCCAGACTGCTCCCTGTTCCCTCATGACAGTACAACAGGGACATGCTGTGAATAGGTGTTCCTCTGCACTCTGCCAGCCTATGAGCTTGGTGTGTCTAAGTGTGTTGATCTGTTGGTGTGTGAAACAGGGGCAAGGTATCTGAGATGACACATTTCCCACAGCGTGGCGACATTAAGGAGAAAGACTGTTTCCCTGCTAAGATAGGGGGAAAACTGGAAATGAAATGGCAGTGGATCATTAGACTGGGATTGCCTTGAGCTTGCTAATTTATGGAAATTCATTTCTTGGCTAATGTGAAAGGAGAAGGGAGCGTGTGACATTGCTTGGCAAGCAGTCAACATCGAGCAGTGAGAAGGTTAAACTGCTGCACTCTGCTTTGGTGGTCTGGAAAGTTTAGCGGCGTAAGCTGGGGAGGGCTGTGGTATTCCAAGCAACAATGACAAAGAAACGCAGACTATGCCAGCCCTCTTCCTGGCAAGGCGGGTAGACGGACAGCCAATCAGGTCCACGCTGGCTCTCTCGCAGGCGAATGGCATGGCATGCTGGCCCTCACGTTGTCCCGCCTCCCCTCCCCACTGCACTGCAGCTACCCAGAATGATTTTATAAACATTTTGCCAGTGGATCAATACCTGTATTGATCAACCATTGTGAGAGTGATCCGTCTAAAACCCAGAGCAGCCTAGAGCTCAGAGATGGGAGGAGCGAAAGAGAGAGGCTGCAGAGAGGATGGAGAAAGAGAGAGAGTCTGCAGCCACAGTGAAAGGGAGAAGAGGTACAAGGGAAGAGAAGCGAATCTGAGAGAGAAGCCGACGCAGAGCTGAAGGCAGGTTTCGGACAATGCTGCAAGGCCACTGGGATTGGGGAGAAACCTATGGTAATTGCTTTCTCATTAAGAAGGGGAGGGTGAGGGCGACTAATGACTACTGCTTTAAGTATGCGGGTAAGTGACAGATGGAGAAATAGTGCGAAGAGATGTGTATGTGTGTAAGAAAGGGGGTGATTCCCACACCTGAGGTTGCTAATGCCTGCACTAGTTTGGCCTGCTATGTAGCACTGTCAAGTACATTGTTGCATGTGCATAAGTGTGCATGATTGCATGAGGTTTAAACGGAAATTGAGGGGAGGTGGGGAATGCGGATGGTTAGCGATTAAGACGTTCTGCACAGAAAAAAAAACAATTATTCTGCTTTATTTATTACTGATTACATTTTGATTTTTTTAATGTTTCCTCTAGAAAAAAAAAAGCCTTCTGTACAGAAGAAGCAAAGATCTGCAGTTTCCTTGGTGACATCATGGGACAGAGAAGGCCCACCACTTAATGAGCTCATAACTGGAAATTCCTGAGAAAATCAAAGGTCGAAAGAAAAAGCCTGCATCCTGGATACAAAGATCCAACAAGGAAGTAACAGGAACATTTCTGATCAAGGCAAAGTTGGATGTATAATCCAACACTGATTTCAAGCTCAAAGATAGTGTAAACTGCGGCAGATAATAGATTATTGCTGTTTTGAGCTGGAGTGAATACAACTAGCTCTGGGATGTTTTCTGACTATTCTTTGGATTGGATTTACTTTTCATTATATTTTGAATTTTGTTGGAATTTTACTGTGCTGACAACTGACTGGACCACTCAACAACAGCAATGAATGGTTGATTCAAGGCCCCAAGCTGCGCTGCACTGGAGGTGGAGCCAAAAGGCTTCTGGGATGATCCCCCCCAATGCTAATAGGAAATCAAGTTTCCATTGATTGATTTTTAATGTGACTTCCTTGTGCATAATGTGGATTTGAGGAAAGCCATATTCCTCCAAACTGTCGGGGAGAACCTTGATGCTCATGAACTCACTTTGCACTGAACTCTGGTGTGGGAACACTCAGAGAAAAAGGCCAACAATCTACAGGTTCTCTCTTCTGTGAACAAGCAGTTCAAAGAAACAATGACAATAATTGCCTATAATAATATAATTAAACTGTAAAATAAATTCAACATTTGTTGTGCGGTACACAATGGAAGTGTGTTTGGCATAAAAGATCCTTGGCTGTGTCCCAGTTCCACACTTGCGTTGTGTATGTTTAACAGTGTACTGTTTTGACACAAGAAATTAATGACAGGAAATAATTCAATATGGTCGCCAACAGACTTCAATTAAACTGTGATTTTGGAACTCCACTGCCATTTTCAAAGCAGGAGAAAAACAACTAAAACGCAAAAATGTTTTCCGAATTTTTAATAACTCTATTGATTTATTCTCTGTCACCACTCACTGCACTCAAAACAAATTGAGAATGTATAATTCATGAATATATGTTCTTTTAGTGTATTTTATTAATTGTCCAATTTAAACATACTTATTAAAAAATCAATATAAATGCAAATATATTGTGGAATTGAATGGAATTATTTACTTGTACTTCCCTTGAGCTAAACCCGTAAGATAAATGTAGCTCAAGTAAAGTACAAGTAACGGTAACCAGGGAGACTCAAACATCAGAGCTTGCTTGCATTAGAGTTGTTAAACAACACACAGATTATGAGTTCTGTGCAGCAACAGCAAGCATTAATTTGTCTTATTATCATTGACTGGTACATCTCATTGGGTTTATCAGTTGCAGAAGACTGTTTTTCAGCTCAAGGATGAATAGAGCTGCACAGAGAGGAGAAAAATATAAGAAAAGCCAATGATCACAGGCCTGACATCTGGTCCACATTTATAAAACCCTGATCAGATGTGGATTGCTGTTAACAAATGTGCCCGCAATATGTGATTGGCAAGGGAGTCAAATATAACGCAAATGCAGTGTTATTTAGCAAACACAATATTTTACTTGTATACTATGCGGATGGGGTTTGTAGCACACAGTTAGACGGCTGAAAAGCTGTCTCTGTGAAAGGAGGGGCCATAAAAAAATGTTTTTTTCTTTGAAAGAAAACTAATGGTAGTACAAATAATGCTGATGAATACCTTTTCTGTAATCTAAATCAGTTTGTGCCACAGATGAACTAAGCTGAAGTCTTGCCAAATTCATGCCAATGACTCACAGTGTAACATACAGGCTAAATATGGCTGCCAGCCTTCTCAGCCATGCTCTCATTTGCTTTCTGTTAGTACATTGATACCTTGATTTAGGTGGGATATCTGTTGCCTTTTGTGTATTATTTACAGTCGGTAACATTCTAACATGCAAAGGTATAGAGAAATAGGCCCGTTATTTTTGCCCATTAGGAGAAATAACCAAATGGCTGGATAGTTTAAACACTTATACTACATATCAATGCCTTACTATTGTTAATAACAGTTTCATTTCAGGGAGATTAACACTCTTAAGTGTTACCACCTAACACAAAGTGTTAATTCATGTGCTATCAAAGCAGTAGTGAGACACTGAATCATTTTCTTATTTCCTTTCATCCCTTTTGTTTGATTCCTACTCTCAAAAACAAACCCTTGGTTGAGTGCCAAAGCATAAATTAGGATCTTCATTAGACACATCAAATCTAAATTACTATTCAATTAACAGGCCAGTCAACCTGAACTAATCAACCAATTAGGCCGTGTGTGTTCACAGAAAAGCTAACAAAAGCGCATGAGTCCCCTGGGAAAGCAGTAAAACACTGCAGAAGAGTGACAGTGCAAATGAGAAGCCACTGGTTCAGGAGAGAAAAGAGGATAAACGTGACACGGAGATCACATCACTATTCACCCCTGTCAGGTTTTGGGAAATTAAACTCCAAGTTACAAGAAATAATTAAAACTGTAAAGAAGAAATGGCAAAAATCTGAAACAAAATAATTTATAAGAGCTTTGATCAAGTTGCATTGTAAATGGGTATACTGTTTGCAGGTTAATGTGTTTATGGTCAGGAGCTTTGATTGAAAGGCATATTATTCCTCAGATGAAACCTTAAATTGTGTTAATAAAACATCATCTGGCACTGTTGCAAACTATTTAAATACTGGGCACAAAAACATAACAACGGCTAAAACCTTACCCCTATGTTTAACTTAATTGATTCGAAAAATCATATTAAAGCAGGTAATGAAAAAAAAACATGATTATGATGGAACGGAAAAGGCCAATTTTGTATTTATTTACATTATTTATCGACTGTACTTTTCTGCAATATGATTGTGTGGAGTGACTGTACTGCCTTTGTGGCGCACAGAAATTCACATTTACCAACCCTGAAAATGAGACTAGTTGTAGTTGCTGGCACATGGTATTGTCTGCACTGTGGGAGAATGAAAGGCTTTGCGATGCAACATTCAGTGGGGTAGGGCTGCTGGGATGTCTGTGTTGAACATACCTTTGGCCACAGGAGATCTGATGGGCAGCACAGGCTGATCAAACGTCTTTGTCATACACAACAGAATGCAACCTAAAAGAGAAACAAACACACACATTACACACATATACAGACGGAGTAAAGCCGGACCAATACTGGATTGTTATGGCTATACTGACATGGATATTTGAGAGTTTAAAAAAATAATATATATATATATATATATTTTTTTATCAGAAGACAGGAACAAATAATCTTGATTCAAATCCTTTAAATGTGTTTTTTCTTATTGTGAGCAAGATACATACTAAGTGGGACATCTCTACCCCTTCCAGCCCTCACATCTAAAGGTCTGAGATCTGATGGCGCTGCAGTACAGGCCAAAGGGGGTTGTAAAGAGGAGAACACCATTATTGTACTAGTAAATGTCAGAACAACCCCATCTAATTGTGCCATTACTAATTCATGTTTATTAATGCAGTGATGTATGATGGCTCTACAGACAAGACTGGGCTTGTCTGTGCCTGTCATGTATGGCTTATTCTTTGCTGGTGAGGGCTGCAGGGACTGTGTTGGGGACCGGATGGTGGATGTGGTGGGTGTGGGGCATATGGTGCATGTAGTGACAGTGCCAAGTGGTGTGTGACTTTAACATGAAGGCAGAGTTGACTGATGGTGCTGGTGTCTCCTGCTGGCCCAGTGCCAGGGCCCCTGGTCCCCAGTGCCCCAGCCCCTCACTACCCCAGAGCCTCTGGGCAAGTACCACAGTTATTGTTTTCACTGCCAAGCAATTAGCGGCACTTAAGATTTATTTAGTCATGCTCTAATGTGTGGTAATTAGCTTGGGGCCCAAACAAGCCCCATCATCACATCACCTTGTCGCTCACATCAGCGCAATGCATCAGCAGGAGACAGTAAGGGAATGTGAGAGAGGAAGCAGGAGGTACAGAGGATGGGGATCTTGGGGGGGAGGTGGAGCAGAGCTAGAAGGATTACCAGAGCTCCAGTCCAGCTCTGTGGATCAGCACTTTTTAAGAGATCTTCAGGGGCCTGTTGGCTGTACGCATAGCAGGAGGAAAGGGCAAATACAGCCCAGTTACACTTTTATAGAATGCTTTGTGGAAAAACACCCCTGACACACACCTCGGTCTGGCAGCTCGGTTTGTCATATGGCCCAAGGGGCTCCGCTGGCCTATCACATGACCAATGTAATGACCTTAAAGGGCAACTTCCTCAACAAGCTCAGGCCACTCCCACTGGCTGGACCGCTGTTTGGGAAATGCAGTTTGGGTCACTGCATAATGAGTGATGCATTCGGCCCTAAGGCTGGGATTAAAAAAAAGAAACGATGTAGAAACCAGGCCAAAGAGATTATGCAGAAGCTGCCAAGAAGGGTGAAACAAAACAAAAAAATGTCAGCCAAATGCTAGTTCATCTACTGTTGTTGGTTCATAATGCTTTTGGGAATCAACATAATAAAACACATGATATGAATGTAAAATTATGTCATGAATTTGTTGTAGGTGTCAGTGTCACTGCTATTAAGAGACATAAATTATGGGATTAGAGATTCTTTATTATTTGTTGGCGTGTAATGGTTTCAGCAATTGGAGTGCTTTGGTTATATGATTATATGCATCCTCTAAGCTGCGTGTGCACCCAGGCTCTATGGTCGATCTCACATGTCAGCTATAGTTTGGTCCTCAATACATTCACATACCAGCGAGTGGCGATTCTCTAACCATTGTGGTCAAAGCATGAATTAAATATTACATTCACTGAACACCAGGCTACCCAGAACCTTGGAGGAAAATAAAAAATTCTGTGTAGGTTCCTCCACTCCACCTTAGCGACATCCACCCACATCTCCATCGATGCACATACAGAATAAAGGACGATTGCACTTTATGATTATAAATATATGGAGGCCTGAGAATTGAGTCAATGCAAGGAGTGTTATAACTTACAGTATGTACTTGAACAATGAATATTTTTCTTTTATAAAACACTACAATGCAAAGTGTTACAGCAGTAGCTCACGAGAGAGCAGAGGAAGGTCAAAGGCAGGTCCTGTTTTACTGCATGCGCACATCTTATACATATTCATAAACAAATCCCATCAATCTTTGCTGGTTGGAGGGGGTGGGAGAAAATTGGAAAAACTACATATTAAAAACAGAATGTGGAAAACTATACAGCACCTGCCTCTGATCATAAAAGAAACTGCTGATGCAAAACATCAGAGTAGCCATTTTTGTGTTTAGTGTTTGACTGGTAGATGCACTCTAATCATTGCAGAACTGGGCCTCCTCATGGAACTATCACCTACAATTACGAGTCAGTCTGGAAGGGTGGTGCTATAAATGAAATATCACTTTCCATTTTATCTCTAGGGGCAGCGTGATGCTCCGAACCAATCAAAACCTCACAAGCCAACCCTTGACCTTTTTCATCTCAATATGACTACCATTATCTTGCAGAAAATTAGAAGCATCTAGCTATTGTTCAGTAGGGACAGGGGTCGAGGTTATTTAAAGATAAATGCTCTAGTGTTCATGATCCATGCAGCAATAACACACCACCAACACGGAGCAGAGGAGAAACATGTCTGCTAAACCCGTGTGGCTGCATGAGTGCACATGCGCACATATGAGGCTATGTGTCAATGCATCCATGTTGATTGTTCAGTGCTGATGTAGTTTGGCGTTCACCTAGTAAACCTGTCTGTTGGTGTTGGGCAAGCAGGTTTCAGTGAATGCTTTGGTGTTATTATGTGAGTACTAAAATGAACACGTTTAATGCACTATTTACAGCAAGAATTTTGAAAGGAACAGATGAATATACAACGGTCTCCATAGGCAACTGGCTCCCTGCTGGATGGCTTATAAACATGTGTAGTGTGAGGGATAATATCCTCATGGTAACAAAGCCATTAGGGGACGAATGTGAATAGAGCTAATGTAGGACTGAAATGACATGACAACGTGATGCTGTGGGTGTGAAAACTAGCTGAGGGACCGTTAGCCTTTTTGCACGACACACATGCGAGTCACACAAACTTAAAGAAGATATATTTTGGGAACACTTCATGG